TATACTATGTCCAAAACAATTTTTTTTTGATTACCTTATTAAATCCATGAGATATTTTGGTTTTATCAAAAGCAACTAAAACAATGAATAGAATGCCCTGATAAAGTATTTTTTTTGCTTGCATCACTTTTGTTAGGCTTCAAGTTTATGACGCATTACTTTATAGCTCCTATTATTCCGTTCTATAGCTTTTATGGCATTCAATCTTCTAATGTTAAACCCTAAAAGCCCAAAATATAAATATGGCTCTTTCGAAGCGCTTGATTACTATTAATAATTTCTTAGGTCTCACTGCATGGCTGGAACGAAAATCCGAAACTGTTGAGAAGTTTGCCAAACAACCAGCTTAGCAATGAGACATCAAGTGATTCATAGCTACTAGTTCATTTATATTAGTTCTCGAGAAACTTATTAAGAGTTCCCTCTACATGCAGATGTCTTTATTGAAATAACCGCTAGTAGCAGAATGCCCCATAAGTAGGAATGACATTGGTGTCTATATATGGGAGAGCAGAGGGTATGTTAATATACAGTAGCACTAATCAAATATTCTTTCTAAAAAAATCGTATAGCAAACCTCTTCCGACAACACTAACAAGAGGGCATATAAGGAACTGAATTGCAAAAAATTAGAATTTTGAAATAGACTTTGAACTGAAGGTAACAAACTTGAACAAATTGTCTAAGAGCTGCAAAGAGTGGCAGTAGCTACTACTAACTTGTTTAATGACCTTAAATCACGCATAATTACCATATAGATAGTCAAATGAATTTGTGCGGTTTTGTTAGGCTTAGAAAAGACCAAAAACTTGAAGCTCTTGACAATCCAAAATACTTTAATAGAAGAATTCTCGTCAAGTGAGGTACTTGTCTTGCCAGTGATTGCGTTTTTAGCAAAAGGCATTCTTTTGAATTATCAGGTGCATGATTCGCATTCCAACACCCCCTCCCTCCTATTTTGCTGTTAGAACTCCTTAGTTGGATTTCTACTTTTTGAGCCTAGTCTGCGGTTACGAATATCACATCCATTCCGCTGGATAGGAGCTTTCTAGAAAATAGGGTAGGTAGAC